TACACTAGATCTATTGAGACTAGGAGAAATAAGAGTAAGATTAAGATCGGTATCAGACTAAGAAGTTGCACGAATCTATCCGACCGAAAATAAAATAGCGTGACGAGCAGACAGTGTACCTTATCTGAAATTACTCTATGAGTACAGTAAACAATACATAACTCAAATGCGTAAATGTGTGAACAATAGTTTTTTTTGCCTGAAACTATTTTCCCGAGAAAATTAGAACAAAGCCTTTACGGGGGGGGGGGGGACGTACTTTTGCAAATTTGCAAAGCGCAGGCAACCCCGGCACCCTGACGCTCGAAATAATCGGTAACTGAGCTTTGCACTTTGTAAAAGCCTCAGGATAGCAGCTCTCAGTGACTCAAAATGAAAATGAGATAGCTTTTTTCCAGCGGGATGGGAATGTTTTAATCTGAGAAAAATTAGGCTTCTGATAGCAACAAAGACATATTTTACTTGTATATGCCCTCATTTTATTTGTTTACTGCAGCAGATCTGTCCTCAAAAAACAAAACTATTATGAATTGAATACAATATGCACTTTCCATTGGTCATTTTGATTGGAGTCAACACGAATGCGTGCGCACAGAATCAATTAAAGCTAATTAGGTTTAATTAGGCGCATTGACTTTGGGGAGAACTGGCTGCTTTTTGGCCGGAAATGACTGGGTTTTTGGGGCGAAAATGTCAAGCTCGAATACTTTGGTAGTAGTTTGGGTTCCGCATACAATTCCCCTGATACCCACATAAATCGCGTTGGATTCCGAAACATTTCGAAAAGCCTTTGAAGACCAGCTATAACTGAAATTAGCCAGCGAGCAAAAGTTTGGAATCCAACAACAATGCGGATTTTGGAGACAAGTCATGCTTTGTTTTGGATTCCGAACTTAAATACGTTTTTGCAGTTGAAGTAAATTGAAGCGAAATACCGCTGGAATCCACTGTTTGTCAGTGGATTGCGCAATCAATTTGTTCTTTATGTCGCTTGATTCCACAATTTGTCAATACCCATTTTTAAGAATAGTGTACGGTGAAGGACGCTGCTTTTGAAATTTTGAAGGACCCTGAAGCAGCAATTTTTTTATCGCAAGGGTAAATAGTCCCTTACAGTGTTCAAAATTAATTTGGCCACGAGCTTAAGTAAAAAAACATGCTGAGTTTTATGCTAAGATCCGGAGTCTTCTTCGGAACATTTTTCAAGTTCTCTCCGAATCTTGTTCACATTGAGTAGTCTCTCGGCAAGCGTTTTTGAACTGTTTTCTGTTCTGATCTAATTGAGCCATTTCTAGGCCTTTTGGCTCCCTATCTCTGCTTGATGAAATTTTGTCCCCCTTCAGCATTCCCTGAGATATCCCTTTAAGAATTGTTGTTGTTGTTGTTGCCTAGGTGCCCGTAGTTTGGCCCTCCTCTTGTCCCTCATTTGTGGCTTCTTCTGTATCGAGTTGCAGGAAAGCAGCTGCTTTGATCGGGTTTTCCCAGAGTGCGTGGGGGGTGATTGTAGTCGGGTTTGCGCTGCACCTGAATAGGTGACCCGTTGTGTGGGTTTCTGAGTTGCACTGTGGGCATGTTTCTGGGGTTGATTCATCTAGTCTGTGTAGGTAGCTTTGTAGGAATGGGGAGTAACCGCTCCGCAACTGGGCAAGGGTCCGTCTGGTACCTCTCGGCAGTCGTAATTCATCCTTGCTCAGTTTGGGGGCTGGTTCGTCGAGCACTTTGTTGTTGTCCCGGTTGTCTAGGGCGTATTTGACCTCATTTGTGTGCAATTTTTTGAGGAGCCCTCTGTAGTCCTCTTCGGTAACGTGCGTGTCGTCGTCTTCTTCTGAATCGGATGTTTCGAGGAGTGCAGTGATGTACCTCTCGTACCTGCTGAAGAGCGTTTCCTTCATGTTTCTGGGCGGTTCCGGTCGGTCTAGCAGCCTGTTGCCAGGGTGTCCTTCGAGATGATGGGCTAGCTGGTGCTGGACTGCTTTCATACGGATATGCCGCCTGACAGGTAGGATTTTCGTCTCGTCGTGCAGGTGCTGGATAGCGGTCATCGTGGTGCATCCTGTGGCCACTCTTAGGGCTGAGTTTTGGACTTTCTGCAGCGTTTCTACGTGGGTCTGTGCAGCGATCGGAGTCCAGACTGGTGATGCGTACTCTAAGACGGGCCTTCGGGGCATGAGCTAGTGGGTGGGATGTAGTAGTTTATGACCCTGAACGAGGTGTTATTGTGGTCTACTTTGATACCCATGCACTCCATAGTACCATCTTGTGGTAGTTGCATTGCGGTGTACACAATGTCTTCGTGGATGAGGAAGGCCAAGCCGCCTCCTTCTCTGTTGGCTGGTCTGTCTTGACGAAGTACTGTGTACGAACCAAAGTTAGGGTCTCTGCTTTTAGCAGTGAGTTTGGTTTCTTGTATAGCAGCGAGTTTGATATCGTGTGCATTGAGGTATGCTTCAATTTCCGGTGTTTTGCCCCCAATGCTGTTGCAGTTCAGTTGTAGGATGTTCAGGGTAGGCATGGGTGTCGTGGGTGTCGCGTGGGTGTTGGCGTTGACCGGAGATGCTGGAGTTTCTGGTGTGCAGGTGATGCATGTCCAGTCAGACACCACTTCGGAACTGTCTGTAAAGGGTGTGCATGGGAAGTGCGCGTGCTTCCGACAAGATGAGCATTTGACGCTTCCTTTCTTGTTGAGGGGCTTGGCGCAGTTGCAGCACTTTTGCCTTTTAGGCGGTCCCGGGTTGCTTTCAATACCAGCTCGGATGAGAAGAATACGGAGCAGGGTTGCTGGCCTGTGCTGCTCCGTCCACAAAAACACGGACTGGGGATGGACCTCTCTTCGTGCACGAAGGAGGGTTTGTTGTCCGGCGGGTTTTGAGGTCCGCTGAACGGCAATTTGCACCAACTGTCAGCTGGTGTTGGTTCCACCTCGAAAAGGCGGCCTTGTCTGGAACCTTTAAGAGTTGTTCGAGACTCACTGCGACTTTTAGGAATACAAAAATCAATACTGCCTATATATATATAAGTGTACCTTTTACGTTCATTGGCACTTTAAAACGAAATCTTATCTACTACACAATAGTGGAAAATATCACAATAAATCAAAGAAAGATAATGTAAATTGATACGCAGTGGAAACTGATTCCCCCAGCAGGAAACTAAACACGCATGAGTATCTACTTTATCGTTTCAAACAATCAATTATGAGGTGACCATGCCGATATAACATAAGTCTAAGCCATTTAAGCCGAATGCTAAATAAGTTTTCAAAAAAGTCCGACCAGGATTGGAAATATCTACCTGAGGCGGACAATTTTCAAACGTTACCTATACGCCAACTGAGCACCTTAAGAGACCAAAAATTGGATTGATTAATGAACAAAGCAAGTTGAAACAAATGACCTTCTCGCGTGCAGTTTCTGCGAATTAAGTTTCGAACATGAAGAAAGTTAGGAGCCCCGAACAAGTAGTAGAGCATAAGTATAAGCCTTCAAGTGGCTGATTGAGTGACCGGTAACTAATCTCAAGTAGCTGTTTAAAACATAGCCAACAGACTGTTGGAAAATTGCACAAGAACAAAAAACGCTTGTCTTTTAGAATCATGTGAACACGTTTTGAAGTTGACAAAAAATTTACTGTTTCTTTTAGGACCGTGTGAACACCCCACCTTACCAAACACGCAAATGAACTCTCCCCTAGTCATAATTTTGAAAACTGACTCTCTACAAAATCTGAATTTCGAAAAAACGCCGGCGCAACTAAATTTTCTACATGGGATTGCATTTGCAGACTGTTAGTCTAATCAACTAAATTAACGTTCATAAAACTTTTCGTAAGAGAAAAATATTAATTGAGTCAATTCAAGATATTCTCAAAATAAATTTCTGAAAAATGCTTGTTTCTCCCTTCTAAATCATTCAAAGGGGAAGGAGGGTAGGGAGTGGATTGTTCACATGACACTTTTTTAAAACTCTAATTCCATCCGAGATTAAAAGATTAGGAAAGACCTAGAGGAAGCCTAATACATATAGAAAAACCCATTAGCGTAACAATTCTTCGATATCTCAACTCTGAACTTTAGCTATTGTCTTGAAGAAGATATTTGATTTATTTTAGATACTCTAATATTCGTTCAATTATTTAAAATCACGTATGGAGGCCTTGTGGAGAAGGGCAGCAGGAAAGGCAGAAATGTTTCATTAGTTACCCACAACAGTATGAAGGGAAGTGAGATAATTGGCTGTCACCGTTACATTTGCCTATTCCTGTTTCTGTTACATTTAAAATGGAAACAAGAACCCCCAACAACTCCACTATTCCCTCCCAACTATATCGGATCAGAATACAATCTGACCTGTATGTTTTAATTTGGCAAACTGTAACAAACCTCAATTCTTACCTAAAATAATTAGGCTGTTCTGAAAAGAAAAAGAAAATATCTGATCACTAAAATGACAGAGCATGTCAACGAGAAGCAAAATTCTCGTTGAAAAAAATACGGTTCAATTTAGCTTGGCTCAGACGTCATTCATAAAACAATCGATGCAAAACTTTCAATCCGTTTCAGTGAATTGTTCCGCAATTTTTCCACAGTTCGCTCCCACTTAGTCTAAGAAGCAAAAACTTCAAACCTCTTTTCCTCGATATTGCACTTTGAAAGAAAATTTCATGCCAGTAATCACGACTGCGGATTTTATATCACTCGATCTAATCCACATATTTTGTGATACCTGAACTGGCGTGAAAAAAAAACCCGCATTCAAATCTTCGCCAACATATTTGGTGTTGAGAACAAAAACATGAAAGTGGGAAAACACGAATTGGCCCTATTCATATGTAAGAAGCTTCGAACTTTAGATCTATATGTTAATGTCATTATTGAATATATTTGAAAGGCAAAACTTGTATAAGCTACCAAAAACGATTGCCTTGGACATTTCTCGAAATAGACTTTTCGTAAGCAAGACTATGCTTGAAAGTTCTCAAAATACTACTTAAAAAAAATGTGCTGCTTTAAATGTAAAATTATTTTTTTTTGTTTTTGATGTGGTTTTCATTTAATGACTTGTACTGGCTGTGGCGTAATTTATCGGTCCACTGACTGATGCACTGTTAACTGGCTGGTTGTCCTTCTGGTTCCACCAGTGAGACAACCTCTCTGTAAAATTCATCTTGTCAAACTCCTCCATCTGCTGCTGCTGTTTCTTCATGTGTTCTTCTTGCTGCAAAACATGCACAGGTTCGAATTGGGCGTCTCCCATTTTGTTCATCCACACCATCATGCCTTCTATCAGCCCCAAAATTATCCCTCCGACCACGCCCTGCCCCAGTGCAGCCGGGAGACCAGATCTAATCGCGAGAATGAACCCAGTCGCGAAACCGGAGAAAATCGAGTTGAACGGATCTTCTTTGCGGCGAATTGCAACCATGCTGCAGTCTATACTTGAAAAAGTGAAGCCCCACATAGCGAAAGCACCTCCAGTGATCGGCGCCCGCACTCGTACGTAGTTTGCACCTTCAAAGAGCCGATTTCCGACTCCTTTGGGGGCATTGCGGACACCTTTGACGAAGTGGAATAGTCCTCCGCCAATTGCACCCATGCAGAAAGCACCCCCTGCATCGTCAAATATGCGCCACGGACAAGGTTCTCTTGTATATTCGTCCATTGATTAATCTGCAACAAGATAGCGATTAATTTTCTTCAATTACTTAAATTACAGGAAAAGCATTAGAATAATAAATTTATTGCTAAAATAATGACCATTTTTATCTTTCTCGCAAAACTGAGGAGAGTTCAATTTCAACTAGCAAAAGGGGGAACATATTGCAGAGGAAAGGCTTCCCCATGGACTTTCAATTGCTCCTGTGGCTATATTAAAGCTGCCATTTGAAAATGTAGTTCCATTGTGGTAATACAAAACTTGATGAATTCGGTTTATATCCCTTCATTTTTCTTCCGATTTTCGATATTGCTGTCTCCCTTTTAATCTCTCCTATTTGGAACAAAGGACAGTTATAGAGACCAGAACTTCAGCAGAGACCGTAGCTTACGAAGTCAAGATGCGTCCGGCGACAAATTAAATCCAACTTCAAAGGAATACCAAATGGTAAGAAAAAGAACAAGAAAAGGAGCAAATCTTTAGATCGGCTCCAACTAGACAAAATAGCAAAGCGCAACAAATCAGTCGTTGAAAAGATAATTTTTCTCAATATCCTCCAGGTAATCAGCACAAAGAACAATCGTCCTTTTAAATTACTTAAAAAAAACAACTGAACATTATCATTTTCAGTTGGGGATAAAAGTACAAATTTTTATGTGGATAAAGCGATTACTTGATGAATTGATTTTCAAACTTTTGTTTAGTGCTCAAGCAACTTAATGTAAGTAGCAACGGACCCGAGCTAAATGGCCTGACCAAAGTCAGCATTTAGTCTGAATAACATACGTTCAAACCCGAGTTACAATCCAACTAAGACTGAAAAGGTTTCAATAGGGCACCAATAATTGCTGAAAAAAGACCAACTTATAGCCCAAATTGCGGATCTATCTCATTGAGAGTAGTCGGACAAAAAAATTCACCAATTTTTAAGAGCTAAAAAATCTTAGTGGTAGCGCAGCTTAATACTCGCATCTTTTTATCAAATCAATTTTCACTTGATAAAAATCACAACTATAGAAAACTGCTTTCGCTAGTTTGTAATCAAGTGTCTGAAAGACATTAAAACCATCCTTTCACTCTGATGAGGCAAAAGCACTGTAAAAGATTTAAAAACAACATGATTAATATTAGACAATGACAATTTGTCAATTAAGAAACTATTTTCAGCACGCGCATGATCATGGCATGAAATTGATCGGTTAGGTAGCAGTATTTAGACAACCGCGTATTCAAACACGTCAGTATTTAGACAAACACTGTTTTAACCAATCAGAATCGAGATAAGGAGAAAATTAATAAATAATTATTATTTATTTTGGATTATTTATGTCTTATCTCGATTCTGATTGGTTCATACAGTATTTGTATAAATACTGACGAGTATAAATACGCGGATGTCTAAATACAGAATGCACTCCAAATTGATCATACCGCACCATCATGCTCATTGAAATTCAATTTTTAATTCACATTGAATCACTGCGGGGGCTATTCTCATGCGCGAAGGACCGAATGCGCAAAAAAACTCGTGAGCGAATGACCGAAAATAAAATTAGCCGCAAGTCAACTTTTAAAAAGAAGCAATTGCCATTCAATTAAATGAAGCAAAATTTAGCTTTGTTTATAACGAAACTCTTGAAATATAAAATTTGTTCCTATTCGTCGGCGTCAGTGACAATTTGGAATTTTGCATATTTCTGCCGTTTTTATATTCGACCAATATCAATATTCTAGTCCCTTAAAACGTTTAATTTCTTTGCAAATTTTAGATTACTGAAATCTGACTGGCTAATTATTCCGACTTTCGAAACGAAAGTAACGGAATATTTGTGCTCGGGGTGAGTTTTTTTTTCTTCAGACAAATTTCGATTTTAACTAGCCATTTTTGACGGACTTTTTTTAATATCATTCGAAAGCTATTGTTGTCCTGAGCTTAAATTTGAAAAGATTTTTCACCTGTGATTGTTTTTCATAAAGTTATGAGGGTTTAAATATTGCCATTTTGACCAATTTGGGACAATTAGCGCGCGATATAATTCGCGCTATTAACGCGTAAGCGCAGATTTAATCCGTCCTAGAAATCGTTCCAAATTGGCTGAAAGAAGCTTATGTCATAATTGATTTGTTACAAGGAGCAAATTCTATTGTTTTGTACTTTATATGCCGTGTGAAGGGATGATTTTTATAGAAAAATCTTTCAAATTTTAGAAAAAAAATTTCATCTTATTTTATTTAATTTTTTTAATGTTGTTTATGTTATTACTGCTCCATAAACGTTTAAAGGCAGTCGGAACTGTCAGGGCTTTGCCCTGATACGAGCAGTCTTGTTTCTATTTTCGCGCATTCGGTCCTTCGCGTATGAGGGATTCCACCAATCACTGCTTCAGATATGATTGAGATTTATACTCCCATTTCTGATACCGCGTCACCAAAAACGACTCTCAAAATTTTCAAGTTTTACTCTCTAATTAGCCTAATTGTTGTGGTAAACTTATTAAATAGAGATTGATTGCTAGGGGCAGCAGTATTTGATACCTGATTGGCATGCTGTTTTTTGAGCTTGTAGTAGAAATTGGTATCGCACAAACACAATACAACAAGAAACCCTTTAGGTTGCATTGCTTCTTCAACACTTACCTAATATTCAATTCTTAGCAGGGTGACCGCTTTTTTGAGACTAAAATAGTGACTATGACAATTTTCGAATTTTCTGTCGACTTTTTTTTTAGAACTTTCTGCGGCGCAGGCATAATTTTGAATAAGCCGAAACAGGAACAGGCTGAAGTCATTTGTAGGCTCTTTTTGAAAAAGTTTGAAAAAAAATTGTGTTTTCTCGGCGCGCGCTCCCTGCTCAATACTAGTATATATCGGCTCCAAAGGCGCCTTTAGAGAAATTTTACGGTCCGTCACCAAAAACCGTTGTAAATAGTGACTTTTAGTGACCATTGAAAAAATAGTGACCAATTAGTGACCAGTAGTGACTGGTCACTAAAATAGTGACCAAGTGGTCACCCTGATTCTTAGTGTCCATGCTATCTTTCGAGTCTTAACACTAATTAATTATGCAGTTTCAAACATTCAAATTTTTGCAGATGAAAAATCTACTCAATGCTGACTCTCAAGCAAAACATCAAGTATTTCCCAACTTTAACATTCTATTCCAGGGGGTGAAATTACCGACGCAATCCAGTTCATTCCAATGGACGAAGTTATCGTCCAATTTTTAAGGGCAAAAACCTCTTCATTGGCAATAAACCGTCATCTGCCTCATACGTGGAATAAGACTCTGAGATCTCAAGAGAGGCTTACTACCCTTGCCGCAAAAGATCTACCCTGCCTCCTAGACATAAAAAACCAAACAGATCGAAGGCAGTGATCAATTATTTGTTAAGGAAAGAAAGCGGCTGGACCTTAAATATAGTGAAAAACATTTAAGAGAAGATAACGTGCACACAACTCATTGAGAAGGGATTAAGTGGATTAAAATCAATCCTGAAAAACAAGGTACTAGATAACAAACACAAACCAACCTTGAACGACGCTGGTCAGTAATAACTGTGCAAGAAAAAATAACTGTGCTGATCAAGATTTAATTAAATTTACAGGCGATCAGTTTCAAATCAAATTAGCATAAAACAATTACCTATCTGGGTAGCTGATCTAGTTTTCCCTAATATTCCACTGTTTCCTTTCAGGATTCATAGAAGCAAGGAGATAGAAAAAACTTTTGATCTAGTCACTAAGCTTACAGTAACCACAGAGTCTATGACCAAATAACTGGCAAATCCGGAAGCAAAAAGACACTTGAACAGCTCGTCGAAATTATTGAGTTATCAACAAAAAAGTTAAACACTCTTGAGCAAGAACAGATTGAAATAGGACATAACGTAACTGAACACAACAACAATCTTTCAGAACGCTGGTCTTTCAGACCGCTGCATAGAGCTAGAGCAGTACGCCAGAAAACTATGCCTAAAATTAGTAAATCTAAATTATGGAGAAAACCCATGATGTGATCAACTAACTTTAGTATTCGAAAGAGAAAATGAGTACGAGAAAAATTGTAGCTTACCATCCCTTAGGCGACAAACAAAATCGCCCGTGATTGTCAAATTTATCTATCATACAGACATTGACAAAATATGGCGAAAAAAAACTAGCCGAAAAATGTTCATAGTTTTGAGAATTTCAGAATCATAATTGAAGAGTGCCTCACCCCTAGAGAAAGTTGAACAATGAGCAGTTGGAAAAGATGAGCACTTGAATGTATGAATGAGCATAAAAGTTTATCAAAACAAAAAGTTGATAAATGAGGCCTCCAAAATTTCCCCATTACAAAACAAATCGGATACCCATCGAAACAAAAAAACGGTTGAAGCGAAAGTTAGTGTTATCACCCATTGAAGAATCTCTGCATAAGTCCTTGACGGAAGATACTTTGAGCGCACTGGTGCTCGTGCTAGCAAAAGTCATTACAATTCAACCAGCAAGAAAAATAGGTCGACAGGACTGGTAACCTCTGGAAACTCCCTTTTCGGTCACATCAAGAGACGACAAAAAGCAAACCAACAAATATTCCGATGCCAATTTTAAATGCAAGATCTCTGAAAAAACACGAAGACAAAGAAGATGTTCTTAAACATTTGCTTGATGATGATCCTAACACATTTGTTGCCATACAAAGCCAAAAACGGTTGAAGCGAATCACCCATTGGAAAACCTCGGCAAAAGTCCTTGACAGAAGATCTCGACAACAGTAAATGACGTTATGATCCTATCGCATTTGTTATAATAAGTTTAGATACAAAATAGATCTATAACATGCCTCGATGCAAAAAGGAGAGAGATAGAGATTCAAGCTATAACTGGATGGGGATAGAATCTAGGCGTTATTTAATTTCATAAAAAGCAATGGCAGTGAAAATTGCCTAGAAACATTACATTTCTATGTTAACACTTATAACCCACCTAGAAAATACATGTTCGAGTTCAATCAATACCTTCAAAATCA